AAAATTTTTTTAAAATGTTTCTCTGAGTTGTAGAAATAGAGGAAGAGTATGGAACTGTTTGAACCCATAAGTTGAAAAATCTTATTGATTTTCTTGGTTTAATCTATTGATAACGAGTCCTACATCAAGTCCGTATTACTCCACTCCGTATTCTCCATGTACTATCACATTTTTTTTTAAATTTTAAAACTATTTTTCTATTTTAAAATATTTTATATTTCACATTTTTTTCAATGAATGTCGATATCTGTTCAAAAAATATTTCAACCAATATGTCACATAGATGTCGCGTTCAAGTTTTTTTTCTATTTTTCGTTTATTAATTTAATATTTTTTATATAATTAGTTAAACAGATGTGCTACATCAGTTAATGTTTTTTTTTTATTTTTTTAGTTTATTAATTTATTATATTTAAAATTAATATATAAATATTATTTAATTTTCTTTAAAATTTATCATCAATAATTATATATAATTAATTTATTTTATTTAATAAAATAATTATTATTAATTTAATTTATATTTATTATTTAATTTATTTTATTATATTTTCATATACTAATTAAACGGATGTGGCAAGAGTAAAGAGTAGTTTTTTTAAGGTTATTTTTATTATATTTTAAATTAATATATAAATATTATTTTATTTTATTTTTTTCTTATTAAATAATTATTTTATTTTCTAATTAATATTTATTATTTTTTTTATTTTAGTTTTTTTTTATTTTCTTTTCTTATTCTTTCAGATTGCCCTTCGAGTTTTTTTTGTTTTTTTTTTATTTTTTATTTTCTTATATATATTATTTTTTTTTTATTTTAAATTTATATAATTAGTTAAACGGATGTGTCATCTATTGTTTTTTATTTTTTTTTAAGTTTTTAGTTTACCAATGTGGTCACATTCGTTGATAAATATCAAAGGTGAAGCAGATGTTGACATCTGTTGAAGGTGGAACGGATATCGACATTCATTTTATTGAAAGAGCAAATTAGGTATGAGGGTAGTGTAGGGAGCATTTGGTGGTGGTGGAGGGAACAACACTCATTGATCATAGTCGATATGTTTTCTAAGTATTAGGCCCACTAATGTTCAGAGGCCCAAACCAAAACTAGTCATGTTCAATAACAAAATTGTGGTTGCTTCCTCTACCACCATGGTCTGCTTTCTACACTTCTTAAAATTATTTTAATTTCAATTATACTCTTAGGTTAAAACTTTGTTACTTTTACCATTTAGGATTTTTTAAGTTATTTGAAATCCTATTTCTACTTATTTACTCATTGCCTAGCTGCACTCCCACCAATTTCACGGATCCTCTCTTCCCTCATTTTCATTTCACTTTCTCTCATTTGTTCCTCCTTTCCTTTCTTTTCCTTCATTTCTCTCTTCTCCATTTTTTTTTTGGCTTCCATTGTTGTTGATCTCTAGTGTGAGGAGGTTTAGGAGGGTGAATCAATGGAGAGAGAGGAAAAAAGAAGTTGCAGAAGGAGAAGCAGAAAAGCGAGTACGAGTTTTGAAAAGCGTGCAACATAAACCACGACCAAGGTCTTCGCCACAAGTACTTCCTTGACCACAAGAAATCCATTTCCAACTTCCTATCCCACTTCTGTAAAAATACTCTTCGACGTTCGCTTCTTCCTCAACGCCCCTACCCTCTCGATCCGCAGCTCGCCTTTTCGCAATCGCTTATGGTGTGTCTTCTGCAACCAAGACATCCACGAATATTCTAGTTCCTTTGCCTGGTACATTATCTATTCACTTATTTTCAAATAAAATCACTATGACCAAGCTTTGAATACTTTCAATGGATGCCATCGGTTCTTGTGATAGCACCAATGTGATTGGCCACCTTGCCAGTGTCCAACACGTGAAGAATTTGAGGCATTTCTTCTGGAAATATGGCGCTGCCGCGAATCAATTGGACGCGTTTATTTTCCGATGATGATGTGACTAGGTATTCCCCAAATTGTATCTGTTTTATTTTGTGTTTGCTTGCAGGTTTGGGAAATTGAGAAATAATTGTTGATTTGTTGTTATTTCCACTCTGTGACTTCAGTGAGAGAGGAAGTGTGAGGCGCGAAAGGATGAAGCGAGGGAGGGAGATCCGTTTTACCTTTAACGGATATTAACATCCGCTGACGGACGCTCACATTTGCTTAAGATAAGATCTTTTACGTATCAGTGACCTTGGAATTGGGCTCAATAACAAACACGGTGCGATGACACTGTTGGGAGAGAGGCAAAACAAAACTGATGTTCTTAAGAAGGACAATTCCTTCTGTTGCAGTTTCAAGAGCCAATTATTGATGGGTGACAAAAAAAGAGAGTGGGTGAAGAAAATGAGAAAAAGAAGGAGAAGAGGGGTGGGTGTGCTGTGCACGGGAATGAGAGTGAAAAGTTAGGATTTTTAATTAAAAATATAAAAAATGATAAATAAAAGTAAAAAAAATTTAACCTAGAGATATTTTTAAAAAATAAATAAATTAGGGAGATCCAGAAAAAGACGGTCGTGGTGAAAGAGCAATACTCTAACAAAAGGGAGTTGCTCCCATCCACCACCACCAATCACTCCCTGCACCTCCCCCTACCTAATTGCCCTTCTATAAAACGATGTCAACATCCGTTTCACCTTCAAAGGATGTTGACATCCGTTTAATAAATTTTTAAAAAGTATTTTTATTTATTGTTTAAATATAATATATACATTAAATTAATAATAATTATTTTATTAATAAAATAAAATTAATTTATAAATAATTAAATACTATTTTTAAAAAATTATCATTATATATATTTTAAAATATATTTCAGCAAAAAAGGTAACGGATGTCGCCACATCGTAACGTATGTACACATCCGTTTTAATATTTTATAACATTTTTAATTTAATTTAAATAATAATACATAATTAATTAATATATTATTTTATTAATAATAAAATAATTTATAGATAAGTAGATTTAAAATATGAAATAATATTTATACATTAATTTAAAATAAAACAAAATTAAAAAAAACTAAAACCAAAAAAAAACATGCAACGGATGTCGCCACATCCGTTAGACACATCCGTTTTAATATATTTATAACAAATTTTTTTAATTATTATTTAAATAATATACATAAGTAAATTAATAATAATTATTTTATTAAATAAAAAAATTAATTTATAAATAATAAGTAATAATTTTTTAAAAATTAAATAATATTATATATTAATTTAAAAAATACAATAAATTCAAAAAAAAAAAATTAAAAAAAAAAACTCAACGGATTAGTTAATAATTTTTTCTCAAAGGTGTTGACATCAGTTGAAGAAAAAAGGTGGGGGTGTAGGATATTTTAAAAATATAAAGGATAGTTTTTGATTTTAAGAAAATGTGGTGGTACAGGGAGCAAGGGGTGGTGTAGGGATCAACACCCATTTTTATATCAAATTCCTTGATATTATATTCAGAAATATATGGAAATAATAGCATTCCTTCTTTTTACAGTACCCATTGATTACTTATTCCTACCTTTACAAATCAAAGGGTTTGAATTTAATGACAATTTAAACTTTTCTCAGTTCAACTTTAAATACCAAATGCCACGTGGATCTGAGGTGTGAAAGAATCATAATTTATCGCACAGTTATTATTACTTTTTTTATGTGGGCATTCTCTTTATTTTGTTAAAAAACAATTATATATAGAGACGACAACGAATACAAAGGGGTCCCGATAAGACAAACAACTCCAAGATACAGTACGAGAGTAGCGGGTGTTAAAAAATAGGTTTACGGATAGTGGTTAAAACGGACAGAAGGAATTATTACGGGCGCAGGATAAATATTAAAGAAATATAGTTCGAAAAGGAAGAAGAAGAGCATTAAGATAAGAATTAAAGTAAGATAAAAGGGAAGTAAAATAAGTAAATAGGAGGGATAGAAAGTAATATTAATATAATTTTAATATAAATTAATTAAATATGAATTAATTTTATTTATTATTATTAAATATATTATTATTTTTTTTATGAGTAAATATAGGTAATATAATACTTGCATTCATCGTAAAAAATATTAAAATATACGTTCAGTATCTATGCATAATAGAATATCCACAAATTTCAATTATTTATTGGTGGATACCTTATCTAATTTTTTTTAATCCTTAATTATTTGAGTTGTTCTTGTGTCAGTCCAATGAACACAACTTCAAAAAACATGGAATTGAATTGAAGTGAAATGCATGTACATCAGAACCTCATCTCAAATTGCACCTTAAAAAAATATCAGAAAAAACGCCACACCAAAACGTCAGGTGTACCTGCGCTCGTACCGGATTATTCATAGTCTTTTACCTTATTTTTTTACACGCACCAAACAATAATGTCTTGAAAAGGCGTCACATTGACCCCATCTTCGATACGCCACGTAGGTCATTTCACCACTCACGCATCACGACGCATAGATTTTTCTTCCGTGACAATGATACGCTGTTTCGCCCTTCCACCACTGTTTATACACCTCATCGGCCTTGTCATATCCAGCTACCCAATCAACCCACAAGTATCAGGTACCGTGGGGTCCACATACAAGTTGCTCTACTAAAATCACCGTATTATTTATTAAGTTTTAATTCATAATAATGAATATTACATCGTTTTATTTATTCTTAAATGCAATATTGATTTAAAAGTGAAAAATATCTATGTTACTAATTAATAATCGAAGAGATAATCTATGTCAATTATGTTTTGAGAATCGTATGGTAATGAATAAGTGCATTATTTAAATGTGTACAAAAAGGTCATTGAAACTTGAAAGATGTGATTGCAATTTTTTAAGCTTTTTTACAGCTAAGGTTTGGACGGATGCTTGCTTTTATGATTAGCCGACCTTTTTTAATCATACATAGTAAAACCAAAAATAGTGTAAAAGGACAAGACCACATCCAAAGTATATATAATCTGTTTTTGTCGTGTTGGCTTCATCGTAAATGATAAAGCTAAGATATGTCCATATGAATATTTGTAGCAGCAAAATTTCATGAAAAAGAGAGAATTTTGATCTGGGAGTGGCTATTTGATAGCATGGTATGGATAATCGATGGATGATAATGCATCATCATGTAACAGTTCCTAACAATTTGGGTACCTCAAGCTGACACAGCTTTACGTGTATTATCATTATCCTGTTGCTATAAATACGCTTATCTTTCCTTCCAGTTCTGCATATGCATTGTTTCTCACTTGGATTTGGAACAAGCAACAGTGTGAGGTTGCGGTGCTGTGTGTGCTGCAATTTCATTTGATAGTGCTGGTGATTTGAATCGAACCATTTCGAGGGTGTGAGTTTTTGCTTTATTGATTCGTCAAGAGTAGAAAGATGACTGTGGGGGCAGCGATATCTGTTGCAGATGGAAACTTGATGGTGTTGGGGAAGAAAGTGCTGAGCCATGTCCATAAAAACGTTGTTGTTAGCCCTGCATGTGGGGGTGCGTTGCTCGATGGGGCATTCATTGGGGTTGAATCCCATCAAAAGGGTAGTCGCACAGTCTTCCCAATCGGCAAGCTTGAGTATGTACTCTCTATACAAACTCTCTTTTTATCTTCTGTTGTTTTTCATTATTCTTTTCATGTTAGTGTAAGATAAAATGGTGGTAATAATAATAATATCGAAGGTCACTGCATTTTTTAATTTCTGATCCTAGGATGATGATTTTTGTTTGTTTCATTCCAGGGGGTTGCGATTTATGTGTGTTTTCCGGTTCAAGATGTGGTGGATGACGCAGAGAATGGGCACTTGCGGACAAGAAGTTCCCTTTGAGACGCAGTTCTTGCTTGTTGAAGCACAAAGTGGCTCTGATATTGATGCAGGAGAAGACCAATCTGCTGCTACCTATGCAGTTTTCTTACCCCTTCTGGAAGGAGATTTCAGAGCAGTTCTTCAGGGGAATGATCAAAACGAGATTGAGATCTGTGTGGAAAGTGGTATGTTCTCTTCAAAAGAAAAACAAAAAGAGATTATTCACAAATCTGTAGTGATTTTTGCTGATGTGCAAAGTGACGAAATCTATTTCTTACTGCAGGTTGTCCCGCTGTGGAGGACTTCGATGGGTCTCATTTGGTTTATATCGGAGCTGGATCCGACCCTTACGAAGTCATTACAACTTCTGTCAAGTGAGTTGCAACCTTTCAAAAAATTTCCGTGTTTTCTCTAATTCTTAGTTTATGTTTGTGAGAACTGTTATTATAAAAATTGAGTTTTGAACTCTGTTCATTACTATCAGGATCTAGTTTTAAAGATTAATCTTCTGAAGTAATACTTTTGTTTTCTAGTTAATCTCGTTTTTGGATGTGCAATGTTATATATAGATGTCTAAACAACTCAAATTATTGATTTTATTGTTTCTGTAATCTTGTTCAGAGCTGTGGAGAAACACTTACAGACCTTTGCTCATCGCGAGCGAAAGAAGGTACATTCCATAGACAGTTCTGTCTAACACTGCATCATAAAGTTCATTACCTCTAATTTATCGTTTTTTTCCCACTCATATTCAGATGCCAGATATGTTGAACTGGTTTGGATGGTGTACATGGGATGCTTTCTACACTAATGTCACTTCAGAGAATGTGAAGCAAGGATTACAAAGGTGGGTGTACTTCTTTCCAAGACGATGATCATCCTATGAGATACATGCATCAAACGGACATTAATTTGAGTGTTGCATAATTTTGCAGCTTCGAGAAAGGTGGAATTCCTGCCAAGTTTGTTATAATTGATGATGGCTGGCAATTTGTTGACATGGACCCCAATGGTACTGAATGGAAATCTGATCATGCAGCCAAGTGAGTATTCTTTTCTAAGTTCAATTATCAGGTTGTAATTCCATCCCTTGTTGACCAAGTTCACTTTCTTGCTTTCATATCAAACAGTTTTGCAAATCGCTTAACCAACATCCAAGAGAATCACAAATTTCAGAAGGATGGCAAAGAAGGTGAAAGAGTAAATGACCCAGCTCTGGGACTTCGTCATATTACCAATGAAATCAAACGAGAACATTATATAAAGTATGCCATTTTCATTTCATTGCTTCTGTTTCTTCATAAGGTATTCAGTTCACTCATGCTTTCGATAAATCTTCCCCAGGTACGTATATGTGTGGCACGCAATAACAGGATATTGGGGTGGTGTTAAGCCTGGGGTGACCGGCATGGAGCACTACGACTCAAAGATGGCCTTCCCTGTCTCATCTCCTGGAGTTGAGTCAAATCAACCAGATGAAGCTTTGGCAACCATTGCCATCAATGGGCTTGGCCTTGTGAATCCCGAGAAAGTTTTTCACTTTTATGATGAACTTCACTCGTATTTGGCATCTGCTGGTGTTGATGGTGTCAAGGTTGATGTTCAGAATATCCTTGAAACTCTTGGAGCAGGACATGGTGGGAGGGTGAAACTTGCAAGAAAATACCACCAAGCATTAGAGGCATCTATTTCCAAGAACTTCCCTGATAATGGAATCATCTGTTGCATGAGTCACAACACTGATGGACTATACAGGTATGAATTGCTTATGAAACGTCAGTGAATTCTTTAATTAATGGTACACTAGATTTATTGATGATTTTCTTAATGAATTTACTTGTGTAGCGCAAAGCGTTCAGCTGTTATTAGGGCATCAGACGATTTCTGGCCAAGAGACCCTGCTTCCCACACGATTCACATTGCATCGGTGGCTTACAATACTATTTTCCTTGGTGAATTTATGCAGCCAGACTGGGATATGTTTCATGTAAGTTATC